CAAAAACTCGTTGACCAACGGCTCTCAACGGCTATAATTTGAAATTTCAGATTAAAAATAAAAAATAAAAAAATAACTGAACGAACCGGACCGGACCGGGACGGAACTGGGACTAACCGGACCGGGATGAACCGGTAAATCCCGGATTCCGTCCCGTTACCCCTCCCGGACCGGTACAATACCGGATCTAACCGGTACTATCCGGAACCGAGACGGAACCGATAACGGACCGGAACGAACCGGAACCGGTACCGGCACCTCCCGGTTCCGTTGCCAGCCTTAAGTGTGAGTGAGAGTAGGATATCAACATGTCTGTTTAAAGTAAAATTCTTATAAGTTGAGGGTATTTTCGTCATACTAAATTATCTTCTCTACTTCCACTGTATTAGAGGTGGGTTATACGTGTCATCCAGTTCGGTTCATCCCTTTCATCAAAATCCATTCATCTGCCAAATCTCCAAACTTTCTTCATCTTCCATTTTTCTCAAATCCATTCAACTGCTGCAATTCTCAGGTACTTCTTATTTTTTTGGTCTCTTAACCTTCAATTTTTTCTGGTTGAATGAATTTGTAAAGTTTCGTATTTTTTCCTTTCAATTCTCTTCATCTTCAAATTCAATTTTGATCTTTAGGAAGAATAACATTTTTTTAGATTTAGTAGAATGGGTTTATTAAATAAGCAAAGAACAAAAAGAAGATGGAGTTTCTTATTTACTCCTATGCATTTGACAATTAATTCTATGAGGTTTTGAAGTTTTGGTCTTTATTAGTTTTACATCTATATAGAATTACAAAAAGTTTTCGTGTGGGTTGGGGGGGGGGGGTTTAGACCATTTTCTCTATATAGAATTACAAAAAGTTTTCATTATTTTGTTGGTAAAAATCCGAAAAGCAATCAAATTAGTGCAAATTGAAAATACAAATCTGCCAAAAATTTCAATACCCGAATGAAATAGATGAAGTGAGCTCAAAGAGCAATCTTGAAAATAAGAATGAATATCAAGGAATTTGTATGTTTTTCAATCAAAAGAGAATTAACTCTGTCGAAATTTGAGCAATTAGTGTTAATTTGATTGAACCCTAACCCCGAAAAGGGGCATATCTGTTGGAGAATATATATGCACAGCGGAAGCATACTAGAATCTTACTAGAATCTTACTGCTTACATGAATAATAGATAACCAAATAGTTTATGCTAGAACACATATAATACATTAGAACACATAAACTTGCTGGAATTTAATTTGATAAATACCTCTTTAAGCGTGAGTAGATACCTTCAAACGAATCTCCAAGTTAGATAGACTTTCAAGCGAATCCACAAGATAGACAACAACTATGGTCTTCTACAGTGATCTCAAGTTCACATCCGAACTCTCTCAATACTTGGGTGGACAAGTATCGAATAGAAAACTAATTCCATCTTTTTCTAGGTTAAATCTCTATTTATAGAGATTTCTTCTCCAATCCAAAAAGGAGAAGAAAACCCAATTTTCTTGAAAAACAAGAAAACCCACGCCTACTCCTTTCCCCCCTAAGAAATAGGATTCTGAGTTCTAGTTAAATATGAGCACCGGAGGGACCACATACTTAATTACTTAGGCTTCCTATTATGGAAATAATTTCAAATAATTAATTTGAATTATTCTTACCTTAATAAATTACAAGTCATTCCACTAGAAATTCGTAATTGCACTCCTCTATTTATATTTCGTAATTCCCCATTAAACACTTATGTAATTCCCCATGTTAAGATTTCAGATACTAATCAATAAATTAAATTACTGATCAATTTAACTTAATGATTAATTTCCTTTAGAGCACTACTTAACTTATTTCATGTGTCGGATTCATAAATCCACTTACAAGGTTTGACACGATGAAAACTTATAAGTTTCTCAAAAAGACATATCAATCAATCTC